CCTCCTAAAGGCAGTACCAAGAAGTAATGGGGAATCCAAAATGATCTCATTTTTCAATACCCAATCTGAATGTCTAAAAGGTCTCATTGCGAAAGAACTCGGACCAGCTGCCACAAATCCTCACAAAGATAGAAAAGGCAAGATAAAACAACAGATAAAGCATTTAAGGGATCAATACTTTCAACCTTTTGCCCTCCAAGAATTTTAAAAACTGCAAACGAGCTAGCCAAATTATCAAATATCATTTTAGCTTCTTTCTTTTCTCTATAGCCAAGATGCAAAAGAAGAGGGCAAAGGACAAGCGGCCAGCAGCTGAGAAGACACAGCCTGTATGGGACACACGCTAAAAGCCGCTTTCCATTCACATGAAATGCAAATGTAACTGGGAATGCTGTATTCCTGTTTGCTTAAATCCCAGCAAACTTTGGTGCCTACAACATCACTGATAACAACCAGCACACAAGGAGAACATGTTACTAGAGAATATCTCTAGTCACAGCCCAACCAGGTCAAGGCCGACTGAGCCTCTCTGCCATGTAAACTGTGACCTAGGAATAACCTTCTCTCTGGGACATTATAAATCATACAATTTCAAAACAACAAACAAGTTCTAAACAATATGATTAAGTAAGGTTTCCAAGGGATTTTGGTCCAGAAACACTCAGCCAGAAAGAGGGATACACACAGAAGAGCCCCTAATCTCTGAATAAGCACCCACTCCAGGTTGTCTGCTGGCGATTTTACGACATCTTTACCGCTTCCTCCTCCCACTGGCCCTCAATGAGGAATCTGTAAAACCCTAAGCAGACACAGCCATTGGCTACAAGAAAAGCCAACATGGGGCCGCCATCTGTCCTGTTCAGGGACTCCACTTGCCTTCTTCTGCGGCTGTAAGCACTTGCACAGAGCAGCCTACCTCCAGAGTAAAGTACCTGGCCCCTGGCTGAGGCCCTGGCTGGGTTTCAGCACCATCCTAGAGAATGGGCTTAGGACCAAGTGCTCTCTCACGGCCTCCATGTCACATGGCCACTGCCAGGCGACAGCCCTCAGGTAGGCAGCTCCTCAAGGCAGGGCCTAGCAAAAGACCTTCCATGTAGCAGGCCCTCCATACGCACCAAGAAAGGGAACATCTCTCCTGACAGGAACTCCAAGTCAGCTTAAGGGAAAAACACAGGCCTGCAATCTTGATCCGGTGCTAGACCCACTACCCATGCTCTCGATCTCATGATAAGCAAGGGAAAATATCATGACGTGCTTTCAAACCACAAAGAGATTTCCATCAAATTCAAAGAAGTCCCTGTAGCACTTTTAATTTTAGGCAGAAGTTAGGACAAAGGATACTCATGGCCAAGGGAAGAGGGGGCACACCAGGGAGGAACTGAACAAGGCCCCCATTCTGCTCTGCACAGGTGCCAGTAACAGGACACCCGCCTACGGTGACACGTGGTGAGGAGCAGTCAGGTGTGGTTGGCTGCTTTTCACCCCATCACGTTATATAAGCCCCAGCACTCTGCTCAGCCAGGGCAAAGTGCTCCTGGAGCACCCGGCCCGCCTCCTGACTCCGAGGCTTAAGCAACCACAGTAAGGAAAATATTTGATTTTAGCATCTAAGTTTTTTTTTTAAGTTAATTATTAAAAGAAGACAGACAACCCTAGGATGAGATGCCCTCAAGTTTGGCCACCAAAACTCCCTGGTTTAAAAAACAAAACAAAACAAAAAAAAACCTAACTACCACCAGATGCGGGTTCAATTACTTAAAAGCAACAACATAAATCTGTTTACAGTACTTAGGCTGTCCTCCCTAGGACCTGGATTTTAAAAAAAGAAGAAAAAAATTCCAGGACCTCATTAATGTGGTCCCCAGCCACAGCCAGACCACTGCTTCTCCAGGCAAACCAATGAAGTCCTTTCCCTCCAGCCCTATGAATAGCTTTGGTCTCCCCTTTCCTCTGGGACCAACACATACCAGACAATTGGATGGGTGATTTACACCGATCCGGGCAAGGGCAACCAGTAAGTGATTTTGCACACGCACCACCACCGCAGGGTGGAGGAAAGGGGGAAGGACACCAGGCTGCCTCCCATCAAGGAATCAATAAGTTATTTAACAGCTGCTGCTTATTTTACATGGTGCTATACTGGGAGGGAGAGAAGTGAGGATTTCTTCCATACCTTTCTCCTAAAAAGGGGAAAACACACGTACCCTAACTGCTGAGGACTGAATGAAGCTTCTCTAGAAGGCCCCAAGAATCCTCTCTAGCTTTTCTCCGTCTTGAGCTTTCTTAGTTTTAGAAGATGGACAGTATCAGGCCTGGAATTTACTCCATTTTGTTTTGTTTTGTTTTTTCCTCCAAAGAGGAAATTAATTCCCTTCCTGCACTGCTATACATTTTAAAGAAACAAACATTAATTAGAAAAGTATTTTCTTTACCCTTTTCTCCCCATTCAACATGACTTTTCAGAAAATAACCTAAAAATGGCATTCCAAATCAGCTTCTAACATTTAGCACTTCGCCCTCAAAGCAAACTGAAAGGGACCAAAGACATGATAAATGTGTCACGGAGTTTAAGGAGAAAAAGACCAGCAAGTCATTAAAAAGTTAGCTCACTCCAGTTATTAAAAACCTGACTTTTCAGGCAACTGTGTCCGTCTGTATGTTTATCCCAAATGGTCAAATTTTTAATTTTTTAACTGCCATTTAAATATCATGCCATCCAATTCATGAAAAAGTCTTAGTAAGAACCTAAAAATAATCCGAATTGTCACATGTACATACAATCTTGGAAATCAGACACCCCATTTTTCCTCATCCCTTTACTTTCCAAAAGTCTAAAATTCTACAGAAACCAATACATAATTTAGTCTTCCACTCTATCTAGCTTTTAAGATCTTTCAGTGCTGGAAAAGAAACAATACAAACCAAAAACCTTTAAAATAAATGCTTTCCCACAGGATGCTGACTAAACCTATCAAACTCAAAGGCAAAGAACTCAGGATCTACAAACTAGAGTCAGTACTAAAGGGACTCATATTTTTTAAACTAGAACCTTGCAAAAAAATCTTAGCACCCACAAATTCCTGGACAGAGCACACCATCCGGTAACTAGGATATGGAAGGGAGAAGACTTAAGAGCCCACCCTTGGGGAAGGAATACCTTCCCAGGGGCTTTGGATTCAAACCAGGCACTGGGAAGAACTGAGTGTGTATTCTGGACTAAAGAACAAAGAGAAAAAACTCCAGGTGTGATTATTCTGGAGCTACAGTGAGATCATTTAGGGACCTGGTTCCTCCTTACTACTCAAGAATTAAAAATATCTATTTATCGCTTCTCCAAAAGACACAAAACACAGCTTTACCAACCCATCTCAAATTCCTCTTCTGGAGATCAGAATTTACCCTGAGTGCCTTAAACCAAATCTCGTTTGACTAGAAGGGGTGGAGAACTTAAATTAACAATAAATGTGGACGCCCACAGAAGAGGCCCCTATCTTTGTTCAAAAGAGCACTTCGTTAATTCTATGTGGACAGGGGCAAAGGAATGAAAGGGCCTGTCTTTGAAGAGGACCTAATCCATCTAATTCCGAATGACTGGATTAGAGGCATTCCTGGGCAAGCGGGGTCTGGCTACAGATTAGGCCACACGAATGTCAATTTCTGATAAAAGACACAAGCTATGCAGGATTTTAAAATGGACAAAACCAAGAAGAGGCACCTCGACTAAGTTCACCCTGGGTGAGGTGGCAGTTGGTTCCAAAAAGGGGAAGCAGGCAGTGACAGCTGAGCATTCCTTCCCGAAGTCCATCTCCAGGCATGAAGCCTCTCCAAACCTTGCACTTCATCAGACAAAAGCTTCTCCAGGCGCCAGGCAGCGGCTGGAGAGGGGCTGTCCACACCCACTTCCCCGCGCAGCTTTCCAAACGTGCCCACTCTTTTGGAAGCCGAGCTCTTAATTAAACACCCCCTCCCGGATCTGTCGAGGCAAACTGGGACTGGACTGGAGCCAAAGAGAAGCTCCCTAAATACACATGGGGGGAAAAAAATCCCCCAGCTCACCGCCCCCAATCGCTACCTCCAGCTAGCTATTCCGGCTGGCTGTATTTCCTACGGATGAGTAACATAGGGCCCTGGTCTATCTCTGCCCCAGAAAATCCACATCGGAGGATCAGGTTATCTCCAGTCCCACCCTTTGCAGGAAAAACCAGAGTGCTGTTCCCCACCCCCAACACACACACACACGCGCGCACGTACACGCACGCACACACACAATCTCCCCACGATCCTTCCAAGAGAAAAGCTGGAGTGGGGTGTGTGTGTCTGTGTGTTGAAGGGGTGAGGCAGTTGTTCTGGGGTCCCCAGATTTTCCTTTCAGGTTGCAAGTCTCAGTTTAGGGGCCCCTCCTGGGCTGCTCTGGGAACTTCTACCCGCGCCCCCCACACAAGGATTGAGGGAAGGCACGAACACCTTCACCAGCTCCGCACCAGCATAATTAATAATTTGTTCACTCCCCTCTTCCAGGTAGACCTGAAAGCCGAGGAGGGAGGCCTCCCTCCTACCTACCAGGCAGAGGACGCCTTCCTAAGGCCAGGCCGAGCCCTCCCTCCCTAACCGCCACCGCGCCAAGCGTCCCCACCCCGAGCCCCAAAGAATCAGGTGTCCGCCAGAGTGTCCTGGCTCCACCGGGCGCTAGCACTCAGCCCAGGGACAGACAATGGAAAACTTGCAGCCAGGGAGGGCCCCGGTCGCCAGAGCGAAGAGCCGAGGCGCCGTCGGGATAATGCGCGGGGACACAGTAGAGATAGCAGACACCCCCCGGGGGTCGCCCGCCTGGTGACCGCCCGCAACGGAGCCCGAGCAGGGGAAGCAGGTGACACCGGCGGCCGCGAGCTCCCGCAGGTGGCAGGCGATCGCGCCGCCGGCGAGGGCTGGGCGGCCACGCCGGCGCCGAAGGCCCGCGGTCTTGGGGCACGGGGGCCACGGCGGCCGCCCCGGCGTCCTACCTTCATGTCGCTGATGATGGTCTGGAAGAGGCCGCCGAGCGCGCCGCACTCCTTCTCAATCACAGCCTCCATTTTCCCGGCGCCGCAGGAGGACGCACTCGCGGGCCGCTGGACTGCGCGGGCCGGGCTCGTCACCCGGCAGGAACCTCGCCCTCGGGGCCGGCCTGCAGCCTGGTCTGCAGGGCGCGGGTGCGCGAGTCACTGTTCTCCGCCCCCAATAACAATGATGCCGAGAACCAGACCGATCCGCCGGGCGATTTGCCTACATGCACGGCTCGGCCCCTGGCCTCAAAAATGCCCGGAGAAAACTGACAATCAGGCCACCACTGGTGCCCACGACGGAGACGGCAAAGCCCATCTTGATGCAGAGAAAGCCGCCCGCCGACCCCGGGCCAGCGCCATTTAAAAAAAGGAAGATTTTCAGATTTAATTATTACTAAAAAAATGAGAAAAGAAATGACCCCGCCGCAAAGAGCGTCTGCTCGCGGCGCCGGGATCTGTTGCTCGCAGCCGCGGCCGCCGCCTCCTTTTCACTCCTGCGCGCCGGGCCCGCGCTCGCTCTGGCCGGGCTCCCGGCGACGTAGGAGGGGCGCACGCGCGCTCGCGGCCGTGCGTCCGCGGCGGGGACGCGGGG